AGTTCAATAACAGCAAGGAACCCAGTTTCACCTCTCATTTTGGAAATATGCATTTCCTGCCATTGACCCAGATCAGAATAGCTCACATTTTCCATCCCATCTCTAAGTTTAGACTGAATCAGAATCTACAGGACTACTTAGTACCACAAAACAGACACAGCCTGGGAGGGCTGGCAGATGCAGCAGTTAAAACCATTGTATTTGTTTTCATTACTGCTTCCATTATTTCTGTATTGGCTATTGTCTGAGGATACCTCTGTTTACTGAGCTGATCATTTGTTCCATTCATCGACTGTCCACTAACACAGCTGCACCAAATCAAAACCAGGCACCATAATGAGCAGGACCAAAACTTATAAGAGCATTTACATTAAAAAGTTAGCTTTTTTTCTCTAGTCTCAAACTGACCAAGGAGTTCAGCCTGATTCAGGAAAGCTGGGGTTGAAACTGATAATAAAACATTGTCACTGGAGGGATGAAAAATTTAAAAACTGACCCACCATGCATGCCAGCTTGCCACAATGTAATGTATAGTTATCACCAGCATCGTACGCTCACCTGCTGGGTGATATGTGCAGCCTGGCTATGCTGGGAGGAGACTGGAAGGCTCAGAGGAGGTACTACCTGATTAGCTCCTCCATAAGCCTGTGGAACCGCAGTCGACTGGACAGGCAGGTACTGGCTCTGAGCTGGAGCAGCCTGTTGCTGCAGCACATTCAGGGTGCAATGTGCATAGCTCTGAGAGGCAGCATCAAGTAGACCTGGACCAAGGTAACTCTGATGGGCATCTGCAACCTGACCAACTGGAGTTGCTGAGGGATGAGGCTGCAAAGCTGGGGTCTGAACCTGTTGGACCATAGAATGGGATACATCCTGGCTTTGTTGTGGAATTGGTGTTTGCACGGCTTTCTGACAGTGCAGCTGTAGAGCTGGGGCATGTACTTGCTGCTGATCAATAGACTGTAGACTATGAGACTGGCTGATGGGCTGCTGTGCCATTTGTTGGTGTGTGGGATGTACAGTTTCTTGGCTACGCTGAATATAAGCCTGCCCAACATTTTGTATTTGTTGTGTACTAGATTGTGTATTTTGCTGTAAGGGCTGTTGGTGCTCATGCTGAGTGACTATCTGTTGGCTATAAAGTGCTGGTGTGGAGGAGCTCTGGGCAGGCTGCTGACTTGGCAGTTTGACTGTGGCTTGGACCTGCTGCAGTGCGCCAGAAACTTGTGCAGGATGAGACTTGGCTGTGGCTTCCACCGTTGGAGCTACAGATGCAAGAAGGTAGCTTTGTGCTGGCTGCTGTGCTGGTTGGATGGCTGCTGCTGTTTCTGCAGTCTGTTGCTGAACTGGAGTAGAATATCCTGATTCAACTGGGGCAATGCAGTTCTGAGTTTGCTGGACTTGCAAGGGAAAAGTCAAAGAGTTTGCTGCCGTCTCCCGTTGCTGTTGTTGGCATGATGCTTGGTAGCTCTGTGCAATATGTTGAGACACAGCTGACAATGAAATAATTGGTGTAGCTTGGGTTTGTTGCACACTTTGAGGTATACAGCTAGCAGAACTGGCTGCATGTTGTGTGTTGACTGAACATTGACTAGCCGGAGCTAGTGCTGCAGCACCAGGTTGACCAACATATGGAGGAGCAGGGTAGCTTTGTCCAGGCTGGAGATACTGCAGTGGTGTGTTCACTGCTGTGCTGGAGGAAGGCATGCCCTGGACAGACGACTGATTCTGGTGACCTGCAGAACCGGTCTAAAAACACAAAGGTAGAGAAATTCAAGTCAGACCCTTTTGAGGGGGAATTTTACTGGTCAGGGACAAAATCCCACAAAACCAACAAATGTACCAGCTACAGATGCAAGTATGATAATAGAAATAAGTTAACTGAACATCTGTTTCAACAAGCAAGCAGTGACAGGTGCAAGATAAAATAAGGACACAAGGGAGAACTAGCAATACAGTGTGACAGGAGGGAGATCAGACAGTCACCCGTCACCCCTTGTCCTTCAGTCAGAGGCCATCTATCCATGTTAAGCTAAGCTGTAGCATTGGAACAGTAAAGCAGAAAGGAAAATTGTAAAATCTAGTTCAGTTCTAGAAGAGATTGGTTAAAGTTAATCAGCAGGGTTGCATGTTTTTTAAGAGATTGTGCCATTGCCTTCTGACATGAGCAAGCTTATGATATTTAAGATGGTCAGCTCTGGAACTCTATGCGGCAGCAATACGCAATCAACAGAGAGGAGACAGGATCAGCTCCATGCAGAAGAAGCTTGTATCTTCTATAAGCTGGGCGAAATCAATGAAGCAGGTGTTGGCCCTTATGGGAAACTAAAACAACTTGTCTGCTGTCAAGACCTACCACTCCCACAGCCCCGGTAACTTCCTGCTCTCCGGCACACAATCTATCCCCACAGTCTTGGAGGGGTTCTTGGTCCCCATCTGAAATGCCCCTCAGGAGATGACCCCTCATGCTACCCTCACTCTGGGCAGGTCTGTGGACAGCTGAGGGGTGCAGCAGTGATGCTTGGGGGGCTGCTTTGCGGTTGATTATATTTAACAGGGATTTCTGAAGCAGTGAGAAATCAGAGCAATCGCTCGAACCTTTCGGCCGTCCATAACCAGGAGCAGTTATTGTTCCACCAGATGATACGTGGTGTGCTGGCATAACAACCCAAGGCTGGTAGTGGCTCCCTCTGGACCTCAAAAGAAGCAAAGACAGGCAGGCCTGGCACATGTGGGTTCTTTGCACTGCACAATGATGGTTATGGCGAGAGGTTAGACTACTAAGGTCAGAATGTCTGCGTCCACTTCTTATACCCAGTTTTAAGTTCTCACTGGTCACCTCTGATGGTGGTATGATGCTGGCATCACTAAGACGGCGATGCTCAGGCAGTGCACAGACAGGAGAGACCTGTAGCACTGGCAAAGGACGCTGAGAGGAGAACCAATCCCCAGCCTCTGAGTGAACTTCAGATGGGCTAAGTTCTAACTGGTGCTCCAGTACCGTGGGGGTGGGACTGACCGATCTTTCAGACTGAATGAGTGCATGGAATTGAGCAATGTGGTTTGTCTTGTGATTGTCAATAACAGGGGCACTTCCTCTCCGAGCTGCAGCTCCCAGTCGAGTCCAGAGCTCTGGGTTCAGTGTTGACCCCCATACTTCACCCTTTTCACAGGAGTGAGGTTGGTCTCTCAAAGGGTTACTGCTCTGGCACTGATTGAAGAGCAACCCAAAAGCAAAACATGTTATTTAAAATGAACAAATCATAACCTAAAAAGAGAACTATATGATAAGATGAGTGAGAACACATACATATGCGTGTAATGTACCTGGCTTAATGAAAAATTATCCTCACATGTCCAAAAAAAAAAGTACAGTTGCATGTTGACACAGTGTCTGTGATTGGTTCTAAGGCCACGTGATCGATGGTTGCTTTCAAAGAGTGTATGTAGTTTAATTAATCTGAATGTATATGGTCCACCTGGGTGTGTATGCTCCTGATACAGACCTGCTGCATTGCCATAGTGATTGGTTCCAGCAGGGACTGGTAGAGGACACTCTGCTGGCTGCTGTGGGAGTCTGAGTACACAGTAGAGCCCATGCCACTGTCTGCTACACAGAAACACAAATCAAGCATTCATAAAAAAAAAGTCCCAAGATTAGGTGCATGTGTTTAATACTGGAGGAAAACCTAATCTTTTACATGTTGCTGAAGTGGTACTGGCTAGTAGATTATGCAGCCTGTTGTGCTGGTCTGCCTCTGGCTCTTCTGGTTCCAGCAAAGGGGGCTGTCCAACATGTGAAGCCCCAGCAGAGATGCTCTGAGAAGGTGTCATCTGGACCCTCTGCGCTCCTTCACCCTGATCCAGTAGAACTGCAGCAGACACTGTTCTCTCTCTTCTCCATTTGATCAGTGCCACACGGTCCCTGATAGACTTTCCCACAGTCTTGGCATCACTCTCATGGAAGAAGCCAGATTCCACCTGACAAAAAAAAAAAAGGGAAGAGGATGAATTCTAGGGTATTTTTAGCACTAAGCATGTGAGAGAAGAGAAGGCGGATTGAAAGAGGGGAGTGTGACGAAGAGAGAAAGCAAGAAAAAGGAAGGAATAGAAAATCTGTTTTCAGGGGATCAGAGCAGTGAGAAACTACTCCTCTTATCTGCAGCTTTGCTCATTGTATGCAACAGAACTATCTGGACTCTTACATCTCCAAGTAACAATGCATGCATACAAAAAAATTATTAGGATTAGACATGATTGCCAATTTAGCAAAACAAGATAATAGTTCTTGTAAAAAATAACAGTCGAGCAATTATGATGTGCATACTAAACCGAATGTAATTTCAATAAAGCATATTCATTACCTGCTGTGCAGCATAAAACTCAGTATGCATATAGTCTAAGATTTCATTTTAAAACAGAGAGTAAAGCAATCAGCCATCATTAGTGCAACAATCAGACTGAATAACCAGAGATCCAGATTAATCAATACAGGGTGGGCTGGGGGATAAATTAGGTTTCAATTCAAGATATATCTTTTTTTCCCCTGGGACAGGTCTACATTGCTGGGCCTGTGACTACCTTATCTGATGACTCTCTTTTTGTCTCATAACCAAGAAAAAGTAAAACTGCAGTAACTGTATTCCTGGAACAGCAGATTAAGTTATCACCAGCAATCTGCATTTGAGTGCAGTCCCTGATGGAGATATGAGCATTGCCAGCAGCCAGAACACAATAAGCCACAGACACATGTAGAGCATGACCAACTGCGTTCCTACCATGGGTTAAAACTACCTTATTATTGAAAGAGAACATATTTAGAGGATGTTGAAAAGGATCAACTATTCCTAGATGACAATCAAAAACTTTAACATGGAAAGCACAATGTCAACCAAATTGACAGGGTTCAAAACCAAGATTTATCTTCAGATTTTTTATGAGTGTGATCTGTTAATATATTCAATTATTCACTCACCATCTCTTGTGCAACAACCTCAGGGACCTCCTTTTCCAGGTCAAACATGAACTCAATTGCTCCACTGTCCTTGTACTTCACTTTCAACTTCTTGTGGTCCTCCACCCACAGTCTGAGGGCTATTGAGGCTTTTTTCCCATCATCCTCCTCAGCCAGCTCCACCCTCACACCTGTGTCTTCAGCAAAGAATGCATGGTTCAGAAGGTCCTTGATGGTATACCTGTGAGAAGGAGCAGCAAACTTATCTGTAATGTTGATGGCTTGGAGATAGACTTGGTATAAATGTTGTTTGCTGTGGTACTAGAACTGTGGTATGTTGATTGTGAAAGGACATCTGGGAATAGTCTAACACAGTAATTACATTACACATGGTCATGCATTATCTCTGCTGCTGGGACAAAGTCACTTACTAAACCCAATCATTCATGAGTAAAACAAAAAAAAAGCCAGAGAAAGCTAATTATAGGTTAATTTCCCCTCTGTACATAAACTAATTATGCAACCAAATTGAAAGACACCCTACAGGTATGAAGGGAGACTGCAGTATTGCTGAGAGCCTAACTGTCAGCATCACAGCAATGAAGTGGGGGAAGAAAGACAAAGCATGAAAGATGAGAGGGTGCCTTATGGGTCCTGCTGGTTGGACACAGGACAATGATTGGGACATTTACTCACCGCTCCTCCTTCTTCTGGCAGATACACTCCCCAATAATCTCCTTGATTTCAGGATGCATGACCTTGTTATAACTGGCTGGCTTCACTCCCTGAGGAAAAGGAAATATAAATGCAATGCTGCAGATTGGCTGCAAAAGGCTACTGTACTGATGAAAGGTAACAACTTCCATCCATATTTGGATGTGTGCATGTTGGAGCACTTGTCTCCAGCTCTTCCATTTGTCAAAACAAGCAGTGGTCTTGAGTGTGTCCTGTTTACTAAGGTTGTTTTGCTTGCAATCAACAACTACAAAACGCTTGGTCTAACATCCTATGGTATTTGACTGTTCAGAACATCCTGAGAAAATGGAAAGACTGAAAAAGTAGATTAGGCAGAAATTTTCACTCTTCCACCATGAAACAGTTTGATACTGAGTTCATTTTGGTTGGAATATCACCTTTAAAACTGTGAAACTTTTGATAATACAAATTTTTTTTAGCTTAGCACTCTGATAATCTGACCTTCTTTGCAGACATAGCTCTGCCAGTTATTCTCTCTCTGGTTCAGCATTGTGGGGTGTTGACATAAGGTGTGAGATCATACATTATTGAACAAGACACTTTCTGTATCTATGAAATAAGGACCTAAATGTGCATCCTCAACATTATCAATCCTACCAATCATGCAGCTACATGATGTATGTATGTACTCATGGACCAATAGAATAATATAAAGCCATCAGGATTTCTCTTGGATCAATCTCCTATTAATATCCTGCAGTGGTCCCTGCAGGGCACTCTGATGTGTACACAGTAACATAACACAGAGAACAGTAGACAGCTGCACTGATGCTGCCTGACCACTAATATGGGCACAGAGCCTTTGTTTCCTTAACATCAGATAAAGGGGTCATCCCTCAGATTCCAACCTTGCCAAGTCTCAAGAACAGAAAAATCAATACACTTCATCAAATTAGGAAGTCTATCATGACTGTAAACACCCCCTAATTTAACACTGTTTGCAATATGCTTTGCTAGGAGAAACACCCTTATCAAAAAAAGAATGGAACACAGCCATCAGGCTTTATCTGAAAAACTGTGAAACTCCCACTGTGACTCCATATGGCTCATTAGATTAGACCTAAGAAATTAAAGGCTGAAATACTGTATAAATTGCTGAAAACAACAAAGCAAAGCTTATATTTCTGCAATTAAAAACTTCCTGGGCTTATTATGAGGTGAAGCAGCTAAAACATCCCTGACTTTACTATACCTCATTGGCTACTTTTTTAAAGAAACAAGCTTTTTTCGCTGACAATTTGCTGAACAAAATTATCGTGGGTTACACTGGCAGGAGAGTGAGGAGTCCATTTGTAATCATTTTGCTTTTGATATATGAATATTTCTGAATCTTTTTATGATGCTTTATTGAAATTATTAATACATGTATGGGCTACTAGTTATAGCTGTATGAGTAATAGCTAAAGCACAATTAGTGCAGGTTATATTTTATTATAGGCGATTTATATTGATTATAATTGAGCTGTTTACAGTATGTATAAGTTCTCAGACAAATATTTTCCTTAATATCTCATTTCGGAAACAAACTGGAAAACTGTTCAGCATCTGGACTCACACTAGTCACTTTGCGGTAAATCTGAGCAGCATTCTGACACTCGGAGTAAGGATATTCGGAGGTGGCCATCTCCAGCATGCACATGCCGAAGGCGTAGACATCCACAGCCTCATCATAGTGCTCCTCATACATCTCTGGAGCCATGAACTCTGGGGTGCCTGAAACAAAAGAATGCCCAGGGGATATGTCATTTTACTTCTTTAGTGTAACAATCGTACATCTGCCAAGCTAACGTTCCAAGGAAAAAACGCTCTTCGCAAATGAAGCTGCCTTGAGAGTCGCCAGTCCTAAATCCCCAATTTTGACCGACCCTGTAGGTCCAGTGATAAAGATGTTGTCACATTTGAGGTCCCTATGAATGATGGGAGGGGTCCTGGTGTGGAGAAAATGAAGGCCTTTCAGGATCTGTCTACACCAGCTCCTCAGCACCTTGGGCTTCATTACCTTGAAACGTTTTAGATAGCTGTAGGAAGGAAAAGGAGATACACCTTTAATGGTGAGTTCAGTGGTAACCTTTGCAAACATCTGTCTGACAGACAGATACTTGAAAGTGTGATGTTACCTTTGCAGTTATTTGAACTACCTTTACTATTACTCACGTTTTTAGTGTTCCTGACGTCATGAGCTCTGTTACTAGAACAATACATTTCTTCCCTTTGAGGGGTGACTCCCAGAAGTCATAAAAACGAACAATGTTGGGATGCTGTAGACCCTTCAACATCTCTGCCTCCTCCTTAAAGCGCTGACGTTCTACTTTTGACAGCTTACGGTCCTGGGGAAAGACAAGAGAGGCAGCAGAGAGAAATAATGAATATGAAACCCTAACAACAGACACTTTACATATTTGCTTCACAAGAACTACCAAATGAATGAGGCCATTACATCGGAGGCACAACCCTGTGATTTCTAAATTCATGAATCCAGTAAATTTCAGTAAACCATACCCTCGTGCAGACCGTGGATGAGCGTGCATTCTCATTCATATTTCAAATCAAGGGTCTGCCTTCTTTCAAATGTGTGAAAAACACAGCTCTCTCCATAGGAGCGTGGACACCCCTGGGCAAAAGACTCTTCTTTACCTTGTTAGCATGAGCATTCACTGCTGTCATTCTCAAATGTAGGTCACACTGTTATTCACTCTTGAATTTGGACCACAGTTAACACACCACAATGATAAACCATGCACTTTCTTTGGTTAGGCTATTGAATATTAGTGTTTTTTTTTTATCTAAAGTGTTTTTTTAAAATTGACATATTGGTAGTAGAATTGGTGCTAACGTAGAGTAGGCTATATTAGTAGCATGGCTAACCAAAACACCAAAACCAAAACACAAACTTGCGGACTGGAAATGTGAATGAAGCAATGATGCCACTTAAGTCAACTCATCACAACATGCCATATCTCTCATACACTCCCCCTGCAACCCCTCGTCACTGTGATCAACCCTGAGTTTTCATAAAAACAAAGATGACAGTCTGTAGTTTTCTGTGTGGGAAGAACCTTGATCAATATAAACATGTCCCGCATGTGCATAATACGTTTATAATTAAAGTATAATACAAGTCAGAGCTGATTTTTCACTTGTTTTGCTTTCATTTCTCAAGAAAAACATTTTTGGGTGACAGACCACAGTGACTCTGGGGGAGAATGTTTCTGCACAGTAAAACGGTCACACCCAGAATAAACTGCAGCTAAATGGTACACATCATCGATCTCTTCCATCTTTCTCCTTCTACACTTGTTTGCTCACTACCTCATCCACTACCTTTTCCTCCTTTCCCCCCTCCCCCTTATCTGCAATCCATCTCCCCCTCTGCAACCTTAACACTAGCCACTCCCTTCTTCATCACCAGACATCCACACAGGCACAGAGAAACACATCTTCACTAACCTGCACCCTCTCAATCCCTTCCCCCTCCGATTCTCTGACCCCACTCTGGGAACACCTTGCTCTAAGTAGTGCCAAGGGTTTCTTCACTACAGTGTATTTATTTTTAACACCCCAGCAACAACTCGCATAACAAATGCGTACATACATTCAGCACTAAGCATGGGCTAGAAACACGACCCCACCCCTCAAAGACGATGACAATGACGGTAGAATGCAGTGGGCACAACCTGGTGAGATTTAATCTATTTAATTATTCAGCCACAGTCAACTCCCTGTGAGATGAAATAGCAGGACAAATTAAAATCAGCCTCAATAACCTAAAAAATATCAATGAAACAAGATGTTCTGCGATGCACTGTGTGGCAGACAGGAGTGAAAGGATGATAAAGCATGGAGTGTGTGTGTGTGTGTGTGTGTGTGTTAATGTAGCTATCAGGTTTTGTGTGCAAGTGTGTGGGGGTTGGGGATTTTCACTGCACTCTTCTGAAGTCACATGAATAATTCAGTTCTGCAGAGAACCCATTCTACTGAGACAAGCTGAGCAATGGAAGGCTGGGACCGACCAACATGGGCTCCGTTATCCCCAAGAGTACTTTGCTGCACAGAAGCAGCACATGGGCCGACATTTACTTGAAACACAGTTCTAAAGAGAGAGAGTGAAAAATGTTAACCCTTGAGCACTGCAGCTTTCCTCCCTCTAAGTGATACTGTCCCTCTTATCCCTTCTTTACTGTTTTATTTTCTTGTTCCCTCCTCTTCATCTAATCATTTCTCCTTTCATCTTTTAGAAATCCTGCTGCTTTCCCCAAATACCCCCCACCATACTCTGGCCACAGACTGTTCCCCTAGCCCCACTCACTCTCCCATTTTTCCTTTAAGCACACACTGAGGGTTCCACATAAGTGAATGTTTGTGCCATGCTCAATCCATATTTATATTATACACGGCTGATTATTTCATCAATTAACTGTGAAATAACTGGAGCTTTTTTATTAAAAAAAACAAAAAACAATTAGATTCTGATATGTCTGTGTTGCTTTATGAGCTACCAGGGCTGTGAAACAAAGATTTCAGCAAACAAATGTAGTGGGTGGCAACAGAGTGGAGCACAGCTTTATAGATTACTTCCTGCTCCTGTCACAATCTGTTTTTGTGGCCTTGCTGCCCACTATGACTTTCTATGTGTGTGTCTTAACCTCGCCTGGGTAGTTCCACACTCTGAGCCTTGTCTTTAGCCAAGTGCACAGCACAAGCTTGATAAGATTCTGAAAACATCCATGTACATACACACAGACATCATATAATCTGTTTGCACTGCCATTCGAATTTCAAATGTAATGTAATGATGAGTCACACTTGCAAAGAGCTTAACAAGTCGTGTGTAATGGTGCCTCTGTGATATACTTTGTCTGGTGTGTGTGCGCATGTACGAATGTGAGTCTTGGGAGTGATATGTGTCTCGCTGTGTATCTCACCATGCTGTGCACCAGATCTCCGAGCCTGCATGTGGCTTCTGAAACAACATCACCAACACCAACAATGTGCACAATTGTGTGTCGACAGGTGAGTCAACAGAATGACGCTGCTATTATTTCCTATTAGTATATACTTATAATATCCACAAATAGAGTCAGACTAAGAAATGCAAAAGAGATAAATCATGACATTTATTAAGACTAATCTATTACTATCCATTAAATTCGCTCATTACCTTAAAATGTTTGCGGTCTACAACAGGAAACTGAAAAATGAAATATAAAAAAAATAAAATAATGGCCGACTGTGAACTAGCATAAATAATTTTAACTGTTCAATCAAAAAAATTTTAATCTGTGTTAATACATCACTCATGATATTTTAAAATATGTGGGGGAGGGGGAAAAATTCACTGATTAGTCTATTGCATTAATGGCCCTTTATAAGAGACTGTGAGGTTTCCAATTTACAACAAATAAGTTGTGTGGCTGTCACATACTGTAGATATAACTGGGAAGCAAATTTAGGTCTGAATGCACATCACAAGAGAGCAAAGGCCAGTAGCAAAGTGCAGGTAACAGGAACGATAAGAGGCTTTGTTCTGTATTAAAAAATCTTGACCATAATGTTTTATGGACTCTGGCCTCAATGAGTTTAGAAAATGACCAAGCAGCTGACCCAAGTCACCATAATATTTAATAGCAATACTAAAAAGTAGGTGGAAGACAGGCACCACCTGGTCCGTCTTTATCTCCTTAGTCTCATAGCACCACTCATAAGACCGATTTTATCCGATACTCAAATCTCTAGAATCAGTGAACCTATGAGATCCACAGTCAGTGGACTAAATATGTTAGGACAGCAACAGGTTTCAGCATTAGTCCTAATTATGGCAGCTAAATTACACACTATGCTATGTCAGGGTTGTCTTTCATCACAGCTTTCCGTTTCCTCTTTGCCTCATTAACCTGGCCCTGCTCTGATTCTTCCTTAACGAGGAGCAGATTAGCAACATTTGGACTAATTAACAATAGTGTAACAGGGATTTATAGTCAAACAACTTCTATAAAGCCTTTACAGCAAACCCGGCATACTCAATGTGACCAAGGAGATTAAGAAAAAAAATATTTCACAGGCTGTACTTAGAAAGCTGAAAATGGACTCTGTTTAAATCTTAATGACATTTAAAAGGTAAACATGCAGACACTCGCCTCAATCTCTACACACACACACACACACACACACACACACTTCCTCACTTACCTGGCTACATTTTAACCACAGAGTGACTAGCCCATAGTATAGCTTTTTAACATGGCAATGAAGGCTTAGGTTGAGTCACAAAGATCATGCGATGCTTTATTGGTCCATGCAGGATCATTCTCTTTACTGGAGGTCAGAGTGCTGTAGAACTACACCCCTACAGCTATGACTTACCACAATGAGGATGTTTGGAATCACAGGACAAGAACCCTGGTTTCCAGGTTGAAAGAGGTTTGTTAATTTACTCAGCCACCCTGCCACCCTCTGCACCCATCCTGAATAACAGATGACTATTGCAGTGCTTTTGCTGCTGTAACAAAAGCTGATGCAAGGCGAGCCATGAGCCAGCAGACTGCCCACAGCTGAATGATGCCCCATCAGTCATGACTGAAGGAGGCTTTATCCAGCAGCTGTGTTGGTCACCTCTGTTTCAGAGTTACAGCCATGACTTGCAGCCACTGAACACCCAAACTGTGTGTTAACTGGCACACTGCAGCTGGAAGGAGCATAAATGTCAGGACTGAAGTCGCTGAGATACTGTGATAAAAAAAGACCAAATGACTACCCTGTTGTCTGGGTGTGCAGGGAGTCAGTGAAGTTAAATAAATAAATAAATAGCAATGAGAAGGACATGCACAACAGACACCATCGCACCCCCAAGACCATTACGAATGGAAGTTAACAGGACATAACCAAAGGATTTAGTCACTGTTTCACTTGAAATGAACTTTAAGTGGCCCATAGTGAAAGGCACTCTTGCTGCATAAAGTGTATGAGTGTGTCAGGCCAACTATGACTAGGAGTAACAGTAGTCAGTGTGGATTACAGCATGCAAGCCTCCTATAAACCTCTTTCTTGTCACAGACCAACTGCACAGGCTGACGAACAGTTCTTTGACACAGGGACAAAGAATTTTAAGAAAATGTTGACTACACACTTGCCTCCTCAAAAGACTGATGTTTATGCAATGGCCGTGACAACTGCTGACTGATCACATCTTTGTTTAGAGCCTGGTTGGTGTTTTAAAACACTGCTGACATAAGTATGTGAGCTGTAAAAGTCAAATATATTTCTGTAAACATATGACAATATTCTAACCATTTTTTTTTTCCAAATAAACAGAACTCAGATTTGCAGTTCA